CACACTAAGCTAAGTAAATATCTCAAAAGTCACCTGCCAAAGAGCAATGTTTTCCAGGCCAGTGTTATAGTGTTCAATTCTGAGTGCTGCATTTTTATATTTCTATGCCAGATTCAGCTAAGTATAGTAAATATCTGCTTGAATCATTAGGCATTATGTTAAGAGATTCCAAGCTACTAAACAAACAATGATTGTAATCAAAGATATGATGGTGATTAAAAAGAGATCATTATTGCAAATAGATTAATATTGGCTTAGATTGAGTGATTGATTTATTTTTTATAGCATTTATGGGTAATTTATATTTTTTGGATTGTAAGAATAATTGTTTTGAAATAATAATTTTTCCAAATAAATGTCATATTTAACACAATAAGAGGGAAGAGATACTGGCTTGGGACAATGGTATTTGAATAAATGATTCGTTTCATACTTGACTAAATTTTGTGACATATACATCTTTCTATATGACGTGTGGATTGTGAAATTTAAATGAGATGCATTTTCATTTTTGGAAAGAAAAACACTGTATAAACAGCAAAAAAGATTTGTGCCATTTATGGAGCTGGTGGCATAGCTGAGAGTACTGTTGGTAAGTTATTCACTAGGTTTCAAATGGAAATTTTGTTCTGGAAGACTTAAAATCCAGCCAGGAAATTTCACATACAAGTTTGTAAAGCATTTATAACACTTGGAGACATGAATTGTTACAATGTCTGGGTTCTTCATGACTTAATAGAAACAATTAGAATGGGTTGCATTTCCATGTCAATTACAAAAATAAAGACCTATTTTTTTAAAGATCAATCACAGGTGATGAAAAATGAATTGTTTACCACAATGTGGAGTGTAAAAGTTAGAGATAATGAAATGAATCACTGTTAACCACTTCAAAAACTAGTCTGTATTTAAAGGTGATACTGTATATGGTGGGACTGGAAGGGCATTTTTTATTATGAGCTCCTCCCATAAAATCAGACACTGAACTCAAACTGGTACTTTTCCCAGTTGGGCCTGTTAAATGCAACTGTGGGCTAATCGAAATAGTGTTGTCTTCTATCGCATCTCTTTGCAGGCCCAGCATAAATTACTAATTATTATAAATGAAAGATGGCAAAATGTAGTGCAACAAAATGGCACAAAAGTCTATATACAAATATTGTTTGAAATTCACTTAAACTCTTGTTCTGACCCAATATAAGCCACTCAGAAAATATTCAAAGAATGTTGGTGTAATATCAAGAAAGTCATTCAAATGTGAGAAAAGATAAAAGCTGTATTAAAAATAGTTGAATTATGTTAAACATTTACCAAATTTGTTTTCAATTAACTATTTCATTAATTCAAAAGTTTTGGCAGGAAAAATTACAAGATTTCATATGGTGATGGTTTGAAGACAAATTGCTTTATGCTGTTCAATCCAAAGTGAATTAAATCTACAAATTTATTCATTAGGTCAAGCGTATGGTTGCAAGAAAGAAATACGACAACAGCAGAAATAGATTTACGTGATTTATTTCAACAGGAACGTATGGGTTTGGGACAGCTACCTTGTGGTATAGTTCATAAGCCGGTTTTCGATCTGGGTTGATCTCATAGTAGTTCACACTGGTTGGTGCTGGCGCTCCCCCTGCTGACCGCTCAGCCTGACCGTGAGAGGTCTCTTCCCTGGCCTCCTGTTGACTGCCCGTTGTACTTCCGTGTGACCCCTTTTATGGCGTTTTTTTATGGCTTAACAGGCTCGAAAAACGACGCGAGTATAATTAGGAGGGAAGCATTTGTGTCGGTCGAAAAATAGAAACACTTTAAAATATTATTTTATTCTTTGACCGGTACTCGTACGTCGGGAACATGCGTAAACGAAGATAATGGTCATTTTATGACGGGGCCTTGTCCCGTTTACATCCGGCTCTCGCTCTTGAGTATGTTAGTTTATTTGCCTGTAAATCAGCCGAGATATGTCTTATTTTATTTTATAACAGGCTAAAAAGCAAATAAAACAGATAATTCATCAAACGCTTTTTGGTAGATAACAGTTCAAGATATTTTTTGGATAAATTCTAACTCAAATATATTTTGTTTAATTCAGACTAATTTTGTTGTATTTGCAATTTCATCTACTGTCCCCTCAAGAATTCCCTGGGTATATGTTGCACTTTGTTTTAAGGAGACATGTGCTTCCCTTTCCATATATGTCATATCTGTTACCTTTGAACTTTTGCAACTGTTTTCCTAAGAGCCATGTATTGAAACTGTGACATTCTAATGAACACAGTGAATGTAGTGACCAACATATACATAAATGATAGGATATCCTTCAAGGAAACAGCTATCAGCAAATGCACAGGCTTAGAAAAACAAAATAAAAGTGGTCACAACTACTCTACCATACATGAGAGATGTGCATAGACATCAGTCACATATGAGAAATATTAACAGAACTAAAAAATGACATATTCAAAAACATGTCACAAAAAGAAGTGTAGTACTGATGAAATTCATATAAAGGTGACAAATTCATATTTAGAGGCACTGAATGTAATAAGTACTGGGGGTCAGGTACTTCATAACCTCTCAGTACAAGATTCCAAAATATAACAGACACCTGAGGAAGGTTAAATCAGTTGAGATGTTATAATCCAAAAGCTACACATATGAGGAAATTAGTCTAAAAGAAAATACAATGGTTACAACACCTAAAAAATCAGCCAAGAACTAAATAACTTTCTCGCTTTATAAAAATTGTCCCATTTCCTTGGACAAAGAATAATGCTAACGAGCAATCTCTCCTGTTAAGAGCAATATCTGTTTGAAGTTTGTATTCAGTTATTATCACAATGAAAATAATAGAAATTACTTTTTACTTAACTGTAAATTTAATTCTTATGAAGTTGCTATTTTCTTTTTAAATGCGTTGATATATTTAAGTCAATTTTGAGAAGTGGTGCTGAAAAGTGCTTGGCCCAATGAAAGAAGATTTCTTTTTTAAATTCTGATGTTTAGGAAGTGTGTCAAAACAAGAATTTTTCAACACCCACATGTACAAATATTACATTTCCCCATTAATATTTATAAAAAAACTTATTTCTATAATATTGTATTTCCAAACTAATAATTACAAGTAAAACAAACTTTTTTTTCACAAGAACAATGACATGTCAATATAATAAATATAATTCTCTGAAAACAATTTATATTTCCTTTAGTGCAAACTGTAAGAAAGGAAAACAATTCAGAATAAAAGAAATTCAAGTGTATGATTTTTTTTATTGCATGAAAAAGAGGAATTCTTTTTAGCTTTTTTTTTTAGAATAATGAATATGGATTTATATAAACCTTTACACTTAGCTGCAAAGTTTGATAGTTAAATATGACGTGGGAAATTAAAAATGAAGTTGATAAATTGCATTCAATGTTTATACTTCTTCATCCATCAATCAGTCAGATAAACATTTTCACAGTTCAAAAAATGGGGTATTATCAGATGATGCCATAATGCAATCAATTCTTGAGGTTTTGTTTTGTATTTTTAAACTTATTGATATTGCACAGAACAAAAACTAACAAGTTAAATATGTTCTACTTGCAACAACCAATGGTATTCTTGTTTACCATATTTTGAAATTATCATTCATTTTCAACTATTGTTCATTTCATCCAACTTCTATTGACTTATCTCAGATCGTCATTCTACATTCATTAAGTGTGTGTTGAAAAGAAAGAATAAATGTCTCTGTAACAGTGCCTTACTGATTAAGCTACAAAGTCTAGTCAACAAAAGTCATTTAAATTCTATTTTTTGCTCCAATTTTTATTACAGTGACATCGTGTTTATATTTTTTACATTAGTAGTTTTAGATATAATTATGTTAATATTTATGAAATGACAATTTGGAAGTTTTAATAAAGAGCAACAAAATTATGACAAAAAAAAAACTAGTCAAAAATAATAAGTGGCAATGCTTCATCTAAGATACTGTAATACAAATATTGCATTTAGTATCAAGATAATGTAAACAAAGCTGATTGCATATCTGTGCATAGAGAAGTAAAGAATATAGTTATATGACAAGATATATCACCTGTTCGTTATCTTTCAGTCTAATCAACACAGCAGTTGCCATGGGAAGGCAGACTATGAGAGATAAGCAATGTTAATTCAATTCTCATCAAGAGCTTATCCTTTATTTCTGATTCCCATTGCTTAACAATCATTGAATGACAATTTAGGAGTTGCAATAAAAGTAAGAGATCAAAAATTAAAGAAATTCTAGTCAAAAGAGGAAAATAATTGACAAGGTCTCATCAAAATAATTTGATTATTACATCTAATATTCAACAATATTTGTTAACCTTGAATTATTTGGTATTGTTTTCTACATTACAAAGTATTTTGAGTATTTTCATTATTCAAGAAAAAAATATCAGATACTTCTACTGAAAATGTTTTAACTTTAACATACTGCAAAAATTAAGCTTAGAGTTGGTTTCCTTTAACTTGTACCTTCACAACAACATACCTGTATATAGTAAAAAATAGTATGCAGAGTTCAATCTATCTGTCTCTCTGAAAGAGTTCTTTGCAAAAGTCATTTGGAAGTTATCATGTTACATACACCAGATAATGGCTGGAGAACAGACTAGGTTGTTAAATGCCACAATTATAATAATACTGGTCAATAAAGTAAAAAAGGAAGTCATAATCGTTCGTAAAAATATCTTATGTTGAGTTCTTATAATTAAGTGCAATTTGAGGCTGTGCGATATTGTTTTGTAAAAATACAAAGAGGCAGTTCAAGGCTTCTTTGAAGTATAGCAACATCTGTAGAATGTCTGAGAAATTTTATTTACAATATTTGTTTAGGAAAGAATGAAAGGGTTTGAAACCCTTTTGACTTTTTTCCAACTCTTGTTTAATGGCATGGGAAAGCACATGATAGACTGTCCGAGATGGAAGTGACATTTTGAAGATTGCCAAACAATCTAAGAAAAAATCTTTATCAACTAATTATCAAGTTGGCACCATCTTCTGAAATGGCTGTCTCTGAACTATCAGTGATTGGGATGCTCTCTTCTGCCAAAACAGTTACTTCTTTCACTTGTTCATTCAGTGGAACAGCCATTGTAAGTTGATTTCCTTCTCCATCTTGTTGACTAGCAACTGGCAATTCAGTGTCAACCATTTCAACTACATGTGGTGTGGTGGTTACTGTTGTCGTAGTGGTTTTCAGAGTAGATTCTGTACCCGTAAGATTCTCTTCTTCTTCCAGCACTTCCTCTTCCTCTTCCTCTTCCTCCTCCTCTTCCTCCTCTTCCTCTAGATCTTCTGTTTGAGCAGCAACTGCAATTTCTCCTCCTGTCAACTGTTCAGCTGCTAATGACAAGCTACCATCTACTGGATCTCCTAACAAAAACAAAAACAAAAAAACATCTATCAGATACATAGTACCAATTTATTCACTTTAATATTCAAATGAGGAAAAAGCATTCTGCATCACTTTTCTTCACAATGATTTTTTCCCACATAGATACAAGTTATGAAATATCAAGAATAATTTCTTTTCTATAAATAAGTTTCTTGTTCCACTTTGCAAAAAAAAAAAAATGAACCAAAGTATTAGAGTCAAGTAGCAATTAGTTCATTGCAAACAAGTATTAATAAAATTTATGCACATTTTTAGTTCTTTTTTAAAAATGTATTTACATCTAAAAACTTACATCTACAAAGATCAATATATATGTGTATATTTCTTTTGGGACAGGTTTCAATCAAACTTTTTGTACGACTTTAAGAATAAAATTTCAAAAATGGGAAAAATCTATGTTTGTCTTGTCTGGTTTTCACACATCCACATGTTGAGAGCACTCTCTCAACTGAGAAAAACTGGTGTTATATAGCTCTCGTGGATGAATCATCTGTGTCACTTGAGACAGCATTGGTCCAATGCTGGTCAGAGGTCTTTAACATGATGAAGCATGCCATCAACCAGCACAGATTGTGGAATGATGATCCCAGTGACCTTCCCGGTTGTAAATTTGGAGGTACATCAGTTCTGGAATGGTCTCACCCACACCACATCTCCAATTTTATATGTCTCATGCTCTGTATATGGTATAAATGCAGGTACAGCATCAATGCCTTTGAACTGCATTAGCTGGTGGAGTTGGGCTTGACGTGTCATCATTTGCTGTCACATTATACCAGTAAACATCTTCTTGTATGGGACACTGCTTCCACACCACAATCCTATGACACTTTTCTATTATCTCATTTCTGGATGACACATGCACACACTGAAAGTGCAGCTGGATGCCCATTTCTCCATGAAAGCCTTGAATAACCTGCTAGTGAATACAGTATTGTTGTTGGTAAGGATTTCATATGGCAGACCTCTCTCACAAAATATCATCTCCAAGTGCCAAAAGATGATCACAGAATCTTGTTGTGCTATGTGTCGTCAAAAAGAGAACCTTGTTGGCCCACAGTCAATCATGGTCAGGTAATGATTGTGGCCATAATGCATAATATCCATTTTCAGCCTGGACCATGTACTGCAAACCCCTAGTTTTCCATTCTGCTAGCACACTAGTGTCAGATCTATGGACTGGCATTCAAGGCCATTCTGAATTACCATCTTGACAGCTGTGCTAGGTAGGGAAGGATCAACTCATCTGACAAAGTAAGTGGTGTGCTTAACACCAAGGTGATCACTATGCTGATGTATTTCCATTATTTTGCATGGACCTAGCTCTCCAATGGCTGCACTACATGCTGAGAGGATATGGTTGGTGTCTGTTCTTCAACAAATCATACCACCTCTGCGGAACTCTGGTAAGTTTGTTTGCTTTATTTTGGCTGGATTTTGCCAGTCTTACCTTCAAGCTGAGGCAATGCTCTGCAATTAGTGCCTGAGGGCTCCCTAGTTGTCTCTGCACAAGCATCTCACACGCTGACTTCATTTTTAGGTGTGCCTTTCTGGTTAAGATGTTGTTGAACTAGCGGTACATACATGTGGAATCAGTGACCAAATGCAACACTTTTACCTTCCATTGCAGGGCCAAGTTTATGCCCTTTAACATTGCATAGAGCTCAGCTAAGTTAATATGTCATGACAAAGCCAGCATGCATCCTTCACAATGTCTTCATTCACTTCCAATGCCACCCCAGTGGCCAGGGAACTTGCATCCACCCACACTGTCATTTTCGGGCCAATCATATACCAGCATCCTCTTGTAGGGTCTTCTTGATGCACTCTTGCCACTGTCTTGTGGATCATGCGCCATTGGTACATTGCAGGTTTTGTCTTTCCACCCTTTGGTTACTGCAGTAACCAGTCGCTTTAAGAATGCCACAGCTACCCTAAGCCAACCACACACCAGAAGGTAGCCATGACCTTTCCACAAAGAGAGAAGGTATTACAATGCATGATAACAGTTGGAGTATTTGGGAACTTTCCTAAAAAACAAGACCTTTTTTTTTTTTTATATGGATTGTACAAGGGCTGTAGAATGGATCTGTCAAAATCTGAAAGCAACAAATAGAATGAGTCCAATAGACTAACCAACCCTTGGAGAGATAAGTCTTCTCAGAATTATAGAAAGAATCTTTAAATATTTAACAATGTTAGTAAAGAAGAAAATAAAGCTATTGCTATTTTGGAACTGACAGTCTCTGCAGGAATTGACAGATTGTGCTTTGGTCAATAATTAAGACAGATACAAAGTAAGTTTGTCTGTTAAACCATTTATATGATGTAGATAACATGGTATATTGATGTTTTACAATTGCTAAATGTAATAAAATTTAAATCTATTAATTAGAAAACATTTCAATATTCAGTTATTGCTGTAAGAGAAAAGCAGTTGATGCATTCTACTGACCTGTTAAATTAAGTTGTTCCACTGTAATATTCATTTGGCTACCATCAACAGGAATTTGCTGGTCACTGATTGTTATCTGTTGACCATCAATTTGTAGAGAAGAAGGAATCTGAATGCGAGCCTCACTTGTACCTGATGATGTTGCTATAGTTAAAGCTTGTTCAATCATTGTCACATCACACTTTTGCTTTTGATGCTCCTGTAAATGAAATAAAAAATAGTGAAAATATCATTAAAAATAAAATATAGCAAATTCTCTCAAGTTAAAAATTAACAAGTGAATCCTGCTTGGATTTGAACATTTCAATATCTACTACACAAGTGTTATGTTATTGTCATATAATTATTAATCCCAAAATATAATTATTTAATCCAAAATAATTACAAATTTTAAATCCAATAATTTCAAAAGATTTCCTGGTTATGGGTAAACAAGATATAGGTCATGCATCACATACACACAAATTGCTATAATAATAATAATAATAATAATAATAATAATAATAATAATAATAATAAAGCTGTACTCTGAAAATGCAAGTGACAGTAAACCAACATGTGTATGGCCTGGATTGATTTTAAGAAAGCTTATGATATGGTTCCCCATTTCTGGGTATTGAAGTGCTTACTGATGTTTGGTACAGCCAAAAATGTCATTAGCCTTATGCAAGCTAAAATGCTTCCTGGAAGATTGCAATAAACTTCTTGGATATTTTTAAAATAATTTTGATTTTTTTTTTATTAGTGTATAAATGTGCCAATTTTTGTAAGTACAGATGACCACACACAATATTATCAGAAAATAAGAGCAATGACTATAGTAAATTTAAAGCCAAAATTTGTAAAATTCAATAAAACAGATTATGGAAAATATTTTTCTAAATTTTTAAGATGACTGAGTACTTAAAAATTAAATAAAAAGGGTGCTCACACCATTTTCTTCAATTATGTTTTACAGATAAAGTCTCCATAGAACAACATTAGATCTGTCATCATGTTGACAAACACGTCAACATAGCTACTGTCAGTTAAAAACACAGCCAGTCAGATTAAAAAATGCATTTCTGCGATATTTTAAACTTAAAGTAAATAATATTTGTTTTAAATCAGATTAATTATATGTTAAATCATCTAATATTATTCAAATAAAGTTTCAGAAAAGTATATTTTATTTTTGGAAGAGTTTTGAATAAAGAGAATTACATTGTGATGAAATACAACTAAAAAAGGCATTAATCAGCTATTTTAGCAAAAAAAAAACATTAGTTTTTGAAATACAGCAAAATATTTTGCTGGTTGGAAATACTAAATTTAATCTATTAGCTTGAAATTACAACTAAAATAAAAGCTTCAAGGAAAGATTTTTCATTTTTAAAAATTCATTAGGTATTGTGAATCTGTGGAGATACAAGGACATTGGCATGGAGTTTGGGATACTGAATTGCTCTGCACTGATGGTGAAGTGAAATAAGAGTTGCTAGTACAAATATTGAATTACCAGCTGGGTATAAATAACTTGGTATTCTGGAGTTCTTTTCTGTAATCAGTTTGTCTTCCAAGGATGTCATCTGACATCCTTGGGAGACAGATGGAAGAACTGATTACAGAGACATACATGAAAAGATTATGGCTTCTTCTGAAGTTCAAGTTGAATGCCTGTAATCTTGTAACTTATATAAGGTATAGTGGAGAAGTGGCTACAAACCTGAACACTGATTTTTGAGAATGTTGCTCTGTACCAAAAGTACATGGTGAAATCTTGTTAAAAGAAATCATTGAGAACAAAGAAGAATACATGAAGAGCATACTGAAAGAGAAGTTAAAAACAAAAGAGACAATGGCTGCTGCTTCATGAGCAGTTTGAGAGGAACATCAAAGCTGTTAAGACAAAAGACTTATGGGATTGGTTGACAAAAATTGAATTAAAACACAAAACTGAAAGTTTACTGGTAGCCACCCAAAACCAAGACCTGAATACTAATCCTGTCCAAAAGAACATTTATTGACAAGTGGATTCAGACAAATAGAGGCTGTGTGGTATGGAGGTGGTATGTTAGCACATGTGAAATGCTTATGCAGAAAGAATACAAGCACTGCCATGATAAAGTGGTTTCTCCTGCATTGGTGAGAGGAAGCATATAGGAAGTATGAAGTCAAACAAAAATGGTACTGCCACAACCAAAAATGACAAAGTCAAGATTTTATGGGAGTTCAACATCATGAAAAACCCTATCATGAAAAAAAAAAAAAAAAAAAAAAAAAAAAAGAAAAAAAAAAAAAAAAGAAAATGCCTCCTCATCTATGTGGTTGTTCCTGGTGGTCCTAATATGAAAGCTAAAGAAACTGGAAAGCTTAAAAAGTACATTAACCTCCACACTGAGGTTGTCAGAATGTGGAATGTTCAGGCCACTATTGTCTTCCCCCCCCACCAGTTATCATTGGGGTGTTAGAGTTTATACCACTGAACCTAAAGACCTATTTTAAGAAAATTGGAATAAAGCCTGGTATCCCATCATTACAGAAGTCTGCATTGCTCAGCACTGAAAATATTCCATGAAATGTGCTAATGTATGACTTGAAAATGAAAAACAATGCAGAAGAGATAATAATAATTAAAAAGAAACACTTGCAATTAGAAGTTTAAATAAAGACTACCTTTTCTAATTCTACATTAGTCATTTTTATTAGTATTTAATGTATTAATAAAATTAACATATGGAGCTAATGAGCATATGCATTTCCATTGATGTTAGTTACCTAGCAACCAATGACTTTATTTGATAGTATATCTGATGTAACTTTTTCAGTCATTTTTCAAGGAAAAATTCTCCAATTTACTTGAAACATGCCCGAATAGATAGCGTCATACAATAACTCCACCTTAGAAGCTCCATTCCACATCACTTAGTTACCATTATTCAAGTGAAAGGAGGTGTTATACATTAAGAGGCTCTCTAATTTTTTTTCACTTCAGTTTATATAATGTATAATATCATCATTTAATATTAAAAGATCAAAACAAATAAATTAACTGAAATATATAAAATTACTCACAATTAATAAAGTTTCATTTCTGAAAGTCTGTCCACATTTATCACATACTAAAGTTTTTACATCGGAATGTTTGCGTTCGATGTGTTTTCGAATATCTGTGAATGTGTAGCCAAAGAAATCACAAACCCCACATTTATAATCCCGCTGACCTTTATGCCTGCAAAGAGAGAAAGAAAGAAAAATGTCAAATCATGAGGGAAAAGTAATCACCACAAAAGAAATATTAGTAGTATTTTCTGACATTTTGATATCTATATGAGTTGTGCAATGTCAAGAATCAGTTCTTTTCTATTAACAATTTCTCCTATTTCTCTTGGTAAAAAATAATCACCATATTAGAGTGAGCAAGCAATTTATTACAAACAGAATTGCCCTTTTATTGAATAAGGAAGATGATTTTCCCACATAATATGACCTATCATCATGTTTGTACCAACAATTTTTTATTATACACTACTGAAATAAATAATGAAACATTTAAAAATATTTTATAGTAAACAAGACTGTTCTTTTCTCATACTGTTCTTTTTCTCATCTGTAGATGAAACGAAAGAAAGAAGAGAAAGAATGTCTGTAACATTTCTGCCCTTAAAATTTGAAGAGACAAACAAATTTACCTTTTCACATGTAACTCTTTGTTCTTTATATGTCGGAAGGCTTTGCCACACACTTCACAAATATGTTTTGGTTCATCATGAATAAGAATATGTTTTGAGATATCTGACCGCTCACAACCCCTGAAAAACAAATGGCATAGAATCAGATTGCTGGAAATAGCAATGTGTGTGGTGGGGCATGGAAGTAAGTAGAGGGTATTTTATATTATTTAATAAAATGTACTTTTAAAATAAGATTAAAATATACAATCAATATTTTACATATAATAATTACCTTGAAAATCATTTTAGATTAGTACAAAAATGTATATCAAATAAAAATGAGTGAATGTATTTTTATTGCAAGAATTATTCAAATATCCCCATCTTTGTTGTTTTCATCATTTCATCTAGTGCATTCTTTGATCTAACGATTTGAAATAAAACATTGTGTGAATAATCTTTATTGCTTCTGCTACTGGTTGCTTGTTGATGTATAAGTGAGGGAATTAACATTTCAACATAAGCTGGGGCATTCAATGTTGAATACATATTTTATTTAATTCCAGAATATCCAAAAATAATTTTTAAAATTTTATTTAATTCCAGAATATCCAAAATATATATGTCTATTGTGAAGAAATAGTTTTAATGTTAAATTTTCTACATTAATTACCATCAAGAACATTTCAATTACTTTTTTATTGTTTATACATATGAACTGAAAATACAGATTAAATCCAACAGAGTGATTGAATAAGGAACAAGTAGGAAATCTTTATAAATTTGGCATATTTCGCTATTTATTTAACTTCGTTAGAAATTTTAGAGTTATAGTTCAGTTGGTAAATTCCATGTCGTTTTCTTTTCTTTGGTTGTTTATAGATGTCATGTGTATATTAGCACTATTGGTATTTATATGTGAATCAATTTTTAAATTCTGTATTTTTTTTTTACAGTAAGGTTTGCCCTGTATGAGGTAGAGGGTTGCATTAAGGAGTAATTTATATGGATAAGAGGGGAAGATAGTGGTTAACTCTAGACTTGAACAGGTTAAGATTGTAGTGACTGGGGAAACATCCTCTTGGGTGTCTGTTCCACAGAGCAGTAGTTCATAGGAAGAAGCTGTTCAAGTGGAATGTGGGCGGTTTGCTACAATGTAAGTCTCATAGTGGGCCCTTGTTGTGAAGTTTAAACCTGGCAGAACCAAAGAATGTAGTTCGTCTGAGCACTTTCCATGGGAGAGAGAGGCTGAATAGTGGAAAATAATTTTTTTCCAACAAGGACTCGCAGACACTTTTGAATTCTATCAAGACTGGAAAGTGAGGACTAGGCAGCTCCTGCACAAATATGGCAACAGTACTCTATTTTCAATTTGTTCTGGCTCTTGTAAAGGTAGAGGATAACATGTCGAGTCAGGTACTTACTACAGTGGTACAGGAAGCTGATCATTTTACCTGCATCTTTAGTGATGGATTGTATGTAAGAGTTCCACTTTAGGTCGGGTGTGAGTCTGAGGCCCAATATTCTCTCAAGTTATTTGGGGGTCTGATTGGCAGTAATGGAATGTAACTTGTGTTTGGTTTTTGAGACATTGAATGAAAGCAGTCATTTTTTTACCCACTGGAAAGTTAGTGCTAGACTGGAAGAGAGGTCAGCTGCCAATCTCTGTTCATCAATAGTTTTTAGAGGTGCACCCATCAGCATAGATGTTTACAAATGATCTGAATATAATATAGGCAGATCATTTATGTAAATGAGGAAGAAGGTTGATCTGAGAAGTAACCCTTGGGAGATGTCTGCATTGACTGCCAGGGCATTGCAGGACTGACCGTTAATAACTACCTTCAGGGATCTACCTGTTAGGAAGGATTTTATAATTGAGAAAACCCTTCCAGTGATTCCATAGCTGGAGAGCTTGTGTAGTAATCCTTTGTGCTACACCTTGTCAAAGGCCTTTGAGATATCTAATGATAATGGGCATCAATGTATATGTAGGTCTCTGTGTAATGATAGTTAAGACATCTGCAGTGGATTGGGCCAATCAAAACTGATACTGCTCATCTCACAGGAGGTTGTTCCTATCTAGGTGTTTGACAACCTTCTTGTTGATTAAAGCCTCAAAAAGTTTACTGATGATGAGTCTATATTGCGATGGGGAGGATTGCTTACTCACATTCTTGAAGACCGGGCACACACTTACCTCCTTCCACAGGCTTGGGAAGGATTTCTCCTTCAACAGTGGTTGAATAACTTCAGAAGTATCAGGTATAATTCTAGGTTGATATTGTTAAGAACAACTACTGAAATTTTATCCGAGCCAGTGGCTTTCTTAGGGACAAAGCTTTTATAAGTTTAGAGACTTATTGTGCTAAAATGAAGATATTACTGAGATTGTGCTCAGTGAGACATGGGTAGAGGATGGCCTTTGTCATCTAACCTTGAATTTGAGGTAAAGAGCTTTGCCTTGTCTGTCAAGAGAGATATGACCTCAGGGCCATTTATAATAGCAAGCGAGCCACTTTGCCTCTGTTCATAACTTGGTTGGTGATCTTCCAGAATTTATGAGAACCAATTTATTTCTTTTTGCCCTTGACCTGGACAGCTTGCATGTAGCTGCAATTTGCATTTTCCAGAACTTTCTTACAGTGATTGTGGGCAGTTATGAAAGAAGCGTCAGACTACATTGCTCCTTGCGATAATTGTGAAGTAGCTGTTCTGGTGAGCTATGGCTGCAGTGCACTCAGGGAAGAACCAGGGCTGACTGGTTTTTGCTGGAATTGTTTGGTGGGTATAAAATACTCCATTCCAGAAATTAACCATTTGGAGACAAGGGCAACAGTTTTGTTTTCATTGGTTAAAAACAAAAGCATAGAATTTAAACAGAATTTTAATTTCATCCAATATGCAAACAGTTCAGTGTTTTTCACTATGCCCTAGCTTGGGTTTAGTGTTTCAACCAAGATATTCCAAATTTTCATTTTTTTCTTTTTTGACAGTCTTTGAGGTTAAATCTCGAGGATATATAACCATTTTGATTATGAATGTTGATAGTTTTAAAAGAGGAGTACCCCCACACCAATTCTATTAATAGAAATCTTGTGCACTCATGCGAATTCTGCTTCTTCTCACTTCTTGAATCAATGTCAACATGTAGTCGCATGGGTGTTTTATTATAAGCCATATTTCTTTTATTAATCTTCACTGTCTGCTTTATTTGTTTTTATTAACCTTCACCCTCAGAGACCAATATTAGAAAATATCAAGATGGGAAACCCATTTGCCATGACATGACAGAGGCACAGACATATATAAACACTAATCTGTGAGTACCTGAAAACCATTAGCTACTCTACACAAGTTTTACTTGAGGTATTCTACAGTGATGTAGAAGTTTTAAGTCTTCAAAACCAATTGATCATTGACTTCTGACACTTATAAAGAAAAATAGATTTGATGTTGATTTCAATGATATTTGGATTAAGAATGACCAAGTAATTTAAAACTCACTATATATATAAGCTAATATACATAATATCCTACATTGATAGAACAACTAGGAGTTTTATGCGAACATGCAATCTTCAGGTGCAAAATACTCACTGACTGTTAAAGCATTATGAAACTTGTGTTAAGACTTAAGATTATTTTATTATTGTTACCTATAATATTAGATTTATTTATAATCTATATTGTTCAACTCCTTAAGTTCAAAAGACGAAAAATTAAAAAAAAATTATTTTAAATAATTTTTTTTTTAAATTTGAAACACGCTATGTATCAAGGGGGATAACTCTCGTTTTTGCATAAAAAACCGTTGTTAGAACATATTATTAATGTCTTAGGTCTCACGATGTTGACATAATTATAAGTTAAGACTATATATCTAATGCATTTGGAACCTAGCCTTATACTTACATACTTTTATCTGTAAAATCTATTTTGAAATCTATTTTAATTGTGGTCAGTGTGCTTCAGCAGGTACTTTAAGTTTGCATGAGTCTATCAACTCACTTCTTGTGTTCAGCAAGTTAGGGTTATTTAAGGGTTTTAATATCAGCTTCTCCACCAGAAGTTACATCTGTCTCCCTTTCCATAGTATGGTTTAGTTTTTGCAATTATCACCCAGTTAATGGAAGGGTTCTTACAGTTGTTGTTTTTTTTTTTTTAAATCACCAAAAATACTTTGATAAAGTTGTGCAGTTTTTGTATTTAATATTGTTCAGTGTCATTTGGTGATGGTAAAAAACTCAATTTCCAGTTGTTCTTGATGGAACAAAGTAATATTTAACATCATCGTCTGAATCGATCCTAGCTCTGTAGTTTATGCCTTCCGTCATGCACTGGCCATTTAATAGGCAGGTCATGTTTTTACAGCAGTTGCATTGACTTTTAGTAGGATTATTATTTAGTGTTTTGTTTGTGTGCTTGCTTCATACATGATTGTTATGTTGAGATATAGAATTATCAATGTTTTTTGAACAGTTATAGCTTACCTTAATATTATTTTGTTGAAAATCTTTTTTAGTGTTGGAGAATGACCAAAGTGTTTGAATTAAATTTAGGAAAATTCTACCTACATTAGTTTGGACATTACTATTCTATGGTGCATTGTTTTAGCTTACCTTTATCTTTATTGTTATTTCTTTCTACATACTCTAATTTCACTTTATAGTTGCTGCATTCTAGCACTATATGCTATATTCTAGCAGTATATCTAGTTTTATTACTATCAAATATTTCTTGTTAGTGGAGTTAGTCAATAACCTAAATTGTACCGATTTGTGTAAATTGTCAAGGATCCATTTCTGGTAGTTGAATTTTCTATTGCCGTACCTGTGGATGTACGAATCCTTAGTGTATGGTTTATACAGGCCCTTGCTAAGGTCTAATGTAAAGTCTAGGAGATTGATCACTTTAGTGTTAGTATTGATGGTAATATTCAGTTTATGGTCCTTAAAGAATTTAGTTAGGTCCTTTCTCATCCAGTTCAATTGTCTTGGTCTCAGTTTATGAAGGAGAATTATCCCATTGTCTCTGTATATACCGTTGTTTTTTATGTCAGAGATAAATCTGAGTCTCCATCCTTACAAGTTCACATGCTTCCACATAATCATGTGCTCCCATGGATATGCAAAAATCTGGGTTATTTTTCTTAGTCCATAGAGTTCCATCATGGGATAGTATCAGTTTCTGTGCCTGTCTTATTATATTTAATTCTTGGTTAGAAATATGGCAAAAGTTCTTTGTTAAATTAATAGTGGCCATCAGTTAATCTTCTGTGATGGATGGGTAGAAGTCACAGATATCAAACTGCAAAAATTGGAAAGCAGGAAGCAGTGAGGCAATAGTTGCAGAGTTTGAAGAGAACTGGAGCCAGCTCAGGAGCACATTTCTTTAGGATGACAGCTGGGATCCCGTCACCTCCAACTGTTTTATGGGAGTCTAATTTAGAAATGATGTCCAAGACTAGAGACAGGGTTATGCACATATCATTCAGTAGACCCTCTGTTCTAGGGGGAAAATCAGGTGTGAGTACTCCGAATGAGTCGAGTGTTGAGTTGCAAGAGAATTCTCGAGCAAAGCATTCAACCTTATCTGCTGTAGACATCAGGACTTCAAATTAATTGAATAGGGGAGGGACTGAGGATTTGCTGTTGTTCAGCACACTCTTGCAGAGCTTCCAACAATCTCTAGAACCAAACTTGCAAGAAGCTATATGTTGTTTCATTCTATCAGCAAACAATAGCTTTGATTCATTAGTCCAAGTAAGGCCTAAAATGGGGTTCATGTGTCCACTCAATGAACAGGACTGCTCACTTATCAAGATCCTGTCTTCAGGCATTACAGGTTGCCACTCACAACCATTTTGGGGAAGACGTTTTACTTTTCTGCTAAGGAAGCAGTTGGCATAGTGGTTCTTAGCAATATTTACCCAAAACTTCAGAAATAGACTGAAAGTTATAAACAAATAATATATATTTATTTGACTTCGATTGGAGCAAATCCTTTGTAATTCAGGATAGTAAAAGTTTGTTCAGCTGAGTATTTGATAGTTGATAGTCAGATTTTGGTATTAGTCATCATCTTTTTTGGCTGTTGTCAGGAGTGTGATTACTTTGGAAATAGGTGCAGTGTCAATCTGCAGTGTATTCTTGACCCTTAGAAGGGTGGAAGAATGTCTTAAGCAGATGACTGCTTAGTTTCTTCATGCAACATGGTTGACTAGTTTCTTTGGAGGTCCCTTCTTTGTTGCTGCCTCTTGGCTGTCTGTTTATATCCCTTAAGAAAGGTCTCCAGACTCCTGGTACAAAGTTTGGTTTCAGCTAACATCAAAAGTCTCTTTATTTTTTGTTCTTTTGATTGGGTAAAATTCTTTTATTTTCCAACATTCCTTTCTTTTTCATAGTGGAAGTTATGTGTGGAGCCTCTCTTATTTTGGTAGATTTCTGGTGACAATGAATAGAAATTGAGGCCAGAAAATTTCTAGCATTTCTTAACTGTGTTCAGTCTTTTCTTTTTCATCTTCCTCTTTTTATTTGATGGTTGCCTTCTCATTAGTTGAGAAAGAATTATATAAAGAAGAGAAAGAGAGAGGAAGATATGGCAAATGCCTTATTTTAATTCTTTTTTCATATTTTATTTTCATATTTAATTTTATTTTTTTTATTTGGGGATCACCACAGCCCCCAAAACAGGCCATTATTCATTCAGGTTAATATTGTATCTGTATCTTTAGGAACTTTGAACAGAATCCACTATCTCTTGGATAACTTGCTTTTTGGTGATTTTTACAAACACTTAAAATTCAACTAAAACCATTTTAGAGAAGTTATATTGAAAATTGGCAGAAACAGAAAGAAGGATCCAAGTGTTTGATAAGAAATGCATGAGAAAATTTCTTGGCATCTTGTATTAGGAATATAAACCCAATGAGTTTGTGCGAAAAAAGGTTGAAAAGGAACCTCATCTTGCCACTGTCAAACAAAAAAAATGGCATGATTTGGACATGTTACAAGGCATGTCAGCCTGTGCAAGACCATCATGCAAGGCACTGTTGAAGGTGAACATAGGAGAGGACGCCAATGCAAAAACTGGTTGGACAATGGCTAACAATAGACAAGTATGACTATACCAGAATTGCTGATAGACTGTTGTGTAGGAGATTCAATATAGCTTCTGCATTTATACCTCCCCGCTATGATAACAAAAATCAAGAGGATGATGATGATGGTGATATTGAAAAATAAAGAAACATGAATATTTGTCATTGGATCAAGAAACATTTTTTTCTTTTCACACTGCTATTACTAATAATAGCAGTGCAAAAAGAAAAAAATGTTTCTCGGTATTCTTATTTGGTATTGTTTTAATTTGGAAAGTAGACACAGATATGAAGGAATTAATTGTAAATAGATATCTATGTGGATTACATACAGTCAAATATCATTTACTTTTACAAATGTGTAAAAATTTAGGTCTTGATAAATTTAATATTAATAATCAGTTAATATTTGTGGTTTTCCTCAGAAAGCCTTTGTTAAACTGACAATGACCAACTGAATGCCATCTTCACATTTACTCTATCAAAATAATGATTGTTCTCACTTTATTCAAAAAGTTTTAATCTGCTTTTAGCCAGAAGCAAAAAAAATTATGACTCACAATCTTGTTCAGAAAAACAACAGAAATTTCTCCATGAATATATCTTACTACATTAAAGGTCAAAATACCTGTAATCACAGCTGGGACATTTGTATGGCTTTTCAGGATCATGGATGCGGAGATGCCTCTTGAGATGAGCTTTTCTGGTAAACTTTTTTGCACAAACTGTACATTCATACAAGACTTCTGCAGGAAGATGTACCATTTTTACATGCATTTTTAAGATATACTGGTCCTGGAAGAAGAGAAAATAAAAGCTCTTTGAAAAAAATATTTTCTTTGACATATTTTTCTCAAACAGAGATCATCATGTATTTACTCTGTCCCCAAAAATTTGAAATCAAAATTATATTATGAACCTTTATGATAAAGTGTTTCATGAATAAAAATAAAACTTACACTTCTGTGCAAAAGATTAAGTCAAAAAGTTCAAAATTCTTCAAAGTCAGATTACTATTAATTTCAGTGCTTTTCAATAATCCTATTAAAATATATGTGGCAATCTTTTCTTTTGCTGTTTGCATAATTTGAATATATAGAAAGTTCATCATCATCATCAACAACAACAGCAGTAGATTTTCTTTGGATATAATTTACAATAAGCTTTTCAAAGTTTACATCTGGATATCTTAGATATCTTTTGATTCAGAAAGGAGATTTGTATCACAAGAAAAAGGTACAAGTGGGTGGTGAAAATTTCTAGACACTACCAAAATAGAGCCATGTTAGGTACTGGCTATACCACATCTCCACTCAGCAGTTCAACACACTTGGTCCATAATTTCTCAGATTTCTTTAATACATTCTGACATTTGGTCATTGAAATATTATTCTGTTACTGCTATCACCTCCAAATTATTAAAAATGTCCTTCCTTTCAAACTCATTTTAAGATTTGAAAACAGGAAATAAATGAAATAAGAGCTGATAAGTAAGGTTGATTGTCTATGCACTCAAACTGCAAATCCTTTAAACTATCCATTGCCTTGTGAGAAGAAAAAAAGAGAATGACTACCTCTGCAGAATAGTATTTTGCATTAATTCAGAAGATAGTTATCAAAACATTTTTCTTATTCAAAATATCTGACCATTCATGTTGATTTTGAGTTTTGAATATTTTTGGTTGTGATGAACTGCTGTAATTATATTTCATCAACAATAACAAGTCATTTCATTGTAAATGCTGGAAAAGTAACTTACTAGTGTCTACTTGATATTGTTTTTGGTGAGCACACAAACATTTTGGTATAGTTTCTGCATACCCAAAGACTCATGAATTATAAATCCAATGTTTCTTTGATATTTCTATTATCTCAGCAATTATTTAGGCTGAGATTCATTGATCAGTCAAAATTATATCATGAAGATGATCAACAATTTCAAGTCTCTTTTGAAAGTCTCTTAGTATGCGTTTCATCTTGGGTCTCAAAATCTCCATGCTGGAAATTGGCACACCATTTCTACACTGTTGAGTATGACAGGCACTTGTCAAGCAATACACTTATAGATTTTCTTGGAGTTTTCTTCTGCAGGAATAAGGATTTAATGACAGCTTGGGACTGAACAGTTGAAATTTCCACACTTTCCATTGAAATGATTCAGTCAATGATTTGAAACAAATTCAAAGAGAAGCAAACACTGAATATTTTCACTTTATAATAGAACAATCTTTTTAGTTAAAATGATAATATGGCTCAGTGGGTTAGGGTAAAAAACTTTTCAGCACACTCACGTAATAATGACAATATAAACATGTCCATATATAGTAGCATATAAGTATATACATATATATTCCAACATATATGATATTAATAAGTACTTACTTTGTATGTTTTCCCACAAAGTTCACATGTGCAGCCATCAGCACTATGGCGCATCATGTGACGTCTTAGGACATAAGCATGTTCAGATGTAAACCCACACACTTGGCAGAGACAGCGGGGGTGATTTTCCTGCAAAATAAATGATAAACATAGACGAAGATCTCCTTTTGATTTATCTAATATTGAGTCCCTCTTATGAAACAAACAAAAAGAAACAAAGATCAAAATGTCACTACATCATGCAACAAAACCCATGGATAATGTAACAGTTATCAGTATTGAAAGTGGAATTATTGTACCAAGTCCAAATGATGACTTTTGTTAATTTTGCACTGATGCCTTTGATAAAAGGATAAATTCATTTTAAGTTATGAATTAAATAGCAGGCACAGTGAGTAATTTTTTGAGGAATCAGAGATCCGAGCTTGAAATCCAGTTGAATTCATTACATTCACTTACATGTTAATACCCTTTGGAAAGATATGAATCCATTTCTTGCTTCCAACTAGGTATATATAGCAGGACAGACTGGGCTCTATAGCCTTGGTTGTCAACCAGTCTAGGAGAAGGAAAAGTGAACTCAAATCAAACCTAGATAGGCTTTGGTTCCATCAGGTTGTCTTGCCTAAGACAAACCACTGTTACTATGGCTGCAATAGATGTGGTGCCCCTACAACCCTAAGGAGTTACAGGATTCATGAAATAAAGAATACCTCTGAAATCAGACCCCTTTCCTATATTGTGGAAGGGGTTGGTATATTGAAAGCTTCAAAAGACTGATACCTTGGATCACTATCTCCTCTGCTTTGTCAGCTGTCATCAAGACAACTACAACAGGATTATGTCAGGTAGTAGAAGCTGCAATCGACACAAGAAGTATGCAACTAATGTTAGTAGCAACTACTGAAAAACCAAAAGTGACAGAAGACTTTGTTGCTTTGGCCTGGATAAGAGCTTGACCTATGTAAGGAAACAAAACAATATCTTTCTATAGAAATAAACAAGTCTTTGCTTAATGGTGCCAAAATCAGTAAATGTCAGAAACCAGAAATTTCATTTGTGAAAATGAACAATTAAATCACCTTTCATTATTGATGTTTGCTTTTTTTAAAGGTTTCAGATCTAACCAAAAATGTAAGTCTTGTGAAAATGATGAAAGCCAAGTGACTTTATATGGATGTTCAAAACTATGCTGTTTAAGTCAGGGATATTTAAATTTAGAGTTTATTAAAACATTCTCTAGAAATATTAATAGATTAATTTTTGGGTTTGTTAATTATAGGCTAAAAGTAACCAGACAAAATATCAAAGGACAAAAATCCATATGTCCATTAAATGATTTTTCAAAGGCTTCAAACCTCAGAGGAATCATCAACAAACAAATATATAATGTTCTATACACCAATTAAATTTAGCATTTATTATTCAATCAGTGTGAGAAATATGTAACCTGAAAAGCCCTTGAGCATATTTTGGTTGTTTTCATTTGACAAGCACAAAAGGTTATTTGTAATTTCAATCACCAGCATAAAAGAAAAATAATCTAAAGTGTACCTGTGTTCAATTATTTGTAATTATGAAGGTTAACTTAGTTTGGTGCAAGGCCATATGGGGGAAGGAGAACACAGTGAAGGTTGCACTTTTTATAGTAGATGAGTTTGTTATCCACTAGCAAAATGCCTTAGCTTAACTTAAACTAGTACAACATCACAAGTGTGCGAGAACTCAGTAAGGATCAAAATTACTCAAGTAATAATGTTCTGTGATTGCTAACTATGATATCCATCTTCATCAGCTAATAGTAATTGAGAAACCCAATACGTTAACCTTTATATCTTCCTTCTCTGTCCTACAATTGGTTCTAATATCTGAATCACTTTCTTTTACCTACCATTACCCCACAACATTCAGCTGCGATTTTCTTTTTACAATTTACTGAAATGCTACCTGTGGCAGTTGCAATACATGACATATCACATCCTGTTTATAGAATTTGTATTACAATTATTTGTAAATGTTAATTATCATTAAGTCTAATTATTGATATTATCAATAATAATATAATGATAAAAAAGGCATTGTCATTGTCAGTACGCCACTATGGCCAACAGAGAAAAGTGCAAAATGGTTAAGGTTTCTTCAGTTTACCCCTTTCATTATTAAAAAAAAACTATAGGAAAAGGCATGGTGGAGTAATGGATAGCAGCTTGAATTGAGGAATTGGAGAGCCGAGTTTGAATTCCAGTTGAATCCATTACATTCACTTACGTGCTAATACCCTTGGGAAAAGTATGAATCCTATTCTTCTCCCTCCCCCAGCTATGGGTAAATAGCAGGACAGACCGGGTTCTATAGCCTTGGATGGCAACTGGTCTACTGCAGAAAGAAATGGCATGCTACTGTGTGATAAAATCTGCCTTGTCAGTCACATATCGAAAGATACAAGATCACCTAAGCATGTATCACACATGGCACATAACTGACTGATAAGAAAAGACTGTAATAAGCTGACATAGTGTTATCTCTCTTAAGCTGATTTTTTTGTGTGTAATATTCAGTAATTAAGAATTCGTTCAAAACTGTTGATTCAATTGTACTGGGAATTGCTTTAATTTCCAAACTGAGAACATTTTAATGGCGTTAGACTATAATAGACTGTTTAGGCTGCATTACAATAAGAAAACATTCACAGTTAGTGGGTTAAGCAACAGCTGTTTCAGTCAATGTGAATTTTGCTATTTTTATAAAATCATTTACAATTTCAGACATTGCAATTAAATCTGACTTACTTTAAAATGATTTAATAAATCTGTTTTATCCAAAGATAAATAAGTACAACATTTGCATTTCTCTACACTTTCTGTGTGATTGGTCAACAAATGCTTTTGGAATTGTTGTTGATAGTAAGACTGAAATTGACACTTGCTACATCGAAGACGTTCCAAATCACTCTCTGAAGCTTTAAGACCTACAAAAAGAAAGAAAAAGAAAAAACCAATTTCATCTTGATTAATATATAATATATGAAGATCATTTAAAATTTAATGGCACAGAAATGTGGAAAAAATAAACTTAATTTTATGCAACCTGAAAAATCTATCACTTCTTTTTTCCAAATAAGTACAGAAGTAAATAGCAGTATAAAGTTTAGGGTGAACCAACTAGTTCATAGTTTGAAACAATTATAGGTGAATTCTGATGTGAAATTTCCACTATAATATTTGATTTATATAATTAATGAAAAGATGTTGGGTTATGTTGCATTGACAAGGAAGGAGATTCTGTTGAAAAATAAATGCTTTTTATTTTCTTTATTAGGTCATAGACGTGTTACAAATTTTAAAACTAAATACAATAAAGAAACGTTAAAATAATTTTAGCTTTTACTGGAAACAGAGAATGAAAACTTACCAATTTTGATTGGGTCTTTCTTTGGCAAAAACATTGGTAATAAATTCTCTGGAATCTGAATGATGGTTGGTTGGTTTGAATTGGAATTGATTTCTGTGGCTGAATTTGATTTGTTTCCATCTTGAAAAAGAATCAAACAAAACTAGTAAATAAAATAAAACAAACGAAGAAAGAAATTTATAAGAATAATTGATGTACTAACTGATATTTGAATAAAACCTTTTGAATTTTCTATTCTCTCAACAGTCTTTTTGAAATTATAAACAATTAATATAAAATTGCAATGATACTGAATTGAAGAATAGATGTTCAGAAAAACTTATCTTTTTCAACGAAAAAGACCATTATTTACATAATACAAAGTGAAGTGTGTGTGTGTATATATATATATATATATATATATATATATATATATCAATACAATTGGAATTAAGATACCAATATCTTGCAATTGGAATTAAGATACCATTATGTAAATGATTATTTTCACCTTGTAAAATTAAATTTACAGGATTTTTCAAACAGTCCATGGATGATAAATTTTTTAAATAAAAAACAAACAAGGAGAAAGAAAGAAAGGAAGAAAAACAGGGGAAAAAGAAGATGAAGAATAGAAAGGAAGAGAAGGTGGCAAAAGAAACAGAAAGTGGAATAAGTCTTGATATGAGTGGTGGTCAGAGGGGAAAGGAAGAGGAAAAGGAAAGGAGAGAAAGAGATGACCTATTTAATATACCCATTAGAAACCAGACAGTAGGTAGACCAAAGAGACCTTCAGAAATTAATGAAAAAAACAAAAAAAATAAATATTATATAAAATAAGAGATAAACCCCAAAATATGAGAGAGAGATAATTCAGAATTAAAGAGAATTAAAATAGCAAATATGTCAGAAAAGAATATTAAGGGAAATATAAAAAAAAATTAATATAAAGGCGGGGGGATAAATATCATAGGATGAATACATCCAAATTAACATATATCAAATTAAATTTATATTAATTAATACCCATCCACAAGGAAAAAAATTATATTTGAAATTTAATATATAATATAAAAAGAACCCTTAAAATTGGAAAAAGTGTCTCAAGAATAACAGAATTAAAAGATGCCTTCAGAATCAATAGATAATCATACTTATTATAAAACCCAGGTTGTGTGTGTGTGTCTGTTCGTTTATATATTGGATCGGATTTCCTACATTTTTCAACCGATTTCAACAAAACTTCACAGGACTATGTAAAATTACGTTGCGGTGGTTCTGACAGTGCCCAAAATTGGAAAAACACAATTGTTTTTGCACAAAATCAATTTGAAAACACGATTAAGAGGCATCACGAGAATGAAAGGGGGGACAACTCATATTGAGTTATACTTATTATAAAACCCAGGTTGTTTGTGTGTGTGTGTGTGTGTGTGTGTGTGTGTGTGTGTGTGTGTGTGTATGTGTATGTATGTTCGTTTATATATGGGATTGGATTTCTTACATTTTTCAACCGATTTCAACAAAACTTCACTTTTTTTAGTAGTGTTTCTTATTGTCTTGCACACTTTTTTCTTTATTTTTACATTCAGAATGCTTTAAAAATTCCATTTACAAGACAATTGTTTATAATAAAATTGAAAAATTCTATTCAATCGGTAGACTCATAATGATTGAAAACAATATTTTTGTTTGAGTTTGGGTTTGACCAATTCGTAAAAAAAGAAAAAAAAAAAAAAAAATAATTAAGACATGCGTGTCTGTCAACCTTAAACAATAATCTTTGTCAATTTTATTTTTCAGTCTTTATGATGGTCGATACTTGATCTATCTCTTACTGTTACATCCCTGTGCAATGCCGGGCTCTACTGCTAGTACTATATAAAAATAAATAATATATAAATATATTAATTAATTAATTAAATAATAGTAACAAAAAAATTTTAAATAAATATAAAATATTACAAAAAAACTTAACTGAAATTAAAATATTTAATACAAAAGCAAAGATAAAATCAAAAAAATATATAAACCCCTTAAAATTTATACTAAGATAAATATTCAAATGGCACTTTATCAAACTTCATAATACAATATATATTAATACAAAACACTTAAATACTACATATCAATATTATATATTTCATATTCACTACTTATAAAATATAAAAAGCCCCATAATATTAAAAAAATAACTAAATACTTAAAATTGACTGAGAATAAATATTAAATACTTAAATAAATACTAAATACTTAAAATTGACTGAGAATAAATATAAAAAAATTATAATAAAAAAAATATATAAACCAATATATGAAATACAGCTTATAAAAAACATATAATTATGTATTATTACATAATAACAAATTAACTTAAAATAACTAAAAAGTTATATTATGGTATATTATTATTAATATATAATATTGTACTGAAAATATAATACTTATATGTAAGGGATAATTCAATAACGATACCTTAAGGTAAGAAAAATGGAAAAATAATGCCAATAAAGGTAATATTAAAAGATATTATTAATAGTCACCAAGAATTAATAGTAATTTAGTGATAGAGAAAAAATATTATTGTAAATTGTAACAGAAGTGAAATATGGGAAGGATATATAAAGAAAGAAGTAGAAGCGGAATAACAGTGTAATTGTCAAAGATAAGATTTGTAAAGTGTAACAGAAGAGAAAATTTGGAAGGATATATGAAGAAAGGAGAAGCAGAATATACAATGTAACCATCAAAGACAGCAGTTCATGTACTTATTAAAGGATAACAGTTCACTCAAGTTCGGTCAGGACTAAAGAGGATCAGGAATTCACAGGTAATTTCCAAAGGATGACAATTCATGCAAGTTCATTTAGGGTCTAGGCAAATTTAAATCTACTGCAGTGACAGCATTTAGAAAATAGTTCATTCCTTTGGTTTAACAGTATCGTTGGATTTCTAAATTTAATAATTCTAATTTTTCTTGTAAGCATAGATTGCATCTACTTTTAAAACTATTAGGAATGTGGGCAAACCCTATAACTCCCCAATCAATCTGAGGGTTCAGTTCTTTCTACCTCAATTCCCAAAATTTTTTGGAAAGTGCATTTTGGAATTTCAATTTTGGGTTGGAAAATGAGTGCCAATACAAAATGAAAATAAGACACGTTGCTTCCATTCACCTGTAGAAATTCCAATATAAATATTTTGATTGTTCTTGTTCTCTTTAGGGTAAATGGTTGCCTGGTAAATTACATTAGAGGCTCTGCATTTTTCTTCTACTGGACAGAGTTCAACATTTCTACAATTACATGGGATATCCATACTAGGTGAATTGTTGATGACATAGAATTTAAGAACAACTTTATTATGGGATCCTGTTATAATTCACTGAAGCAAGTTTTATGAAATTAAACTGACAAGATTTGCTTGTTCATTTTATTTTCCAATTTTTGAACAAGATGTTGTATATTGGGATTGAAATTGTAGATAAACTGTCTGAAGTTCATGTTCTGTTTTGTTCAAGTACATTTGACCATCTAAGTCATGTGTTGTGTCACAAACCATATATTGTTAGTATTTACACACACACACATTCATCCTCATCAAAGGGCTGCAGAGTGTAACTTTGATCTTAGACAGAACCTATACTTAAATAATCCCATCATTTTTAGAGATAATAAGCTTTTATATATATATATATATATATATATATATATATATAGAGAGAGAGAGAGAGATTTCTCATTAAATAGGAGAAATTACTAATAGAATTTATTGAAGAAATACTTAAAAAAACTTCTCAGTTACATTTGTTGGTATTTTGTTGTCCTAATACTAATATATATGAAATTTGACAAATTTGTTTTGATGACTTTGAAATGAAATATGGAAGGAGGAAAGAAATATCAGCAATGTTTAACCTTTGTGCCTGCCCCTAAAAATGGGATGTTAAAAGGATGGCTATTCCTTTAGCATAATTATTACTGTATACACTCCCTTGTTTTAAAAAATGATGATTAGAATTGTAATCAAACCCAAACACATGAAAGTGGGTTTATACATTTTTTTTATTCTTAAGAATTGACAATAAAGATGTTAAACACTATTTATTATATTTCTTATTTTCAAAAATAATTTTATAATTACAAGAATATAAAAATATGTGAACCAACTATAATGAAATACTTGTTCTATATTCACTGATATTTTTTATAAAATAATGAATAAAAAACTTTTCATAATTATAAAATGGTAAATAATAAATATTGCATTGTAGTTGGTTTACATATTTTGATAATTTTGTAATTTTTAATAAATTTTTGAATAGAAAGATTTCATTTCAAATTTATTTCTTTATAAAATGGTAAATAATAAATCTTTATAAAAGGTAAATAATAAATATCGCATTATATTTGGTTCACATCTTGTACATAAAAATTTCTGATAGGGGTTAAAAATGTATATAATAATAGCAGTGTCAAGGGAATAACCCTTCTTCTGATGCACTTTTTTTTACATCTATAAAAACATATTTAATTTTGTACCTTTGGAAAATGTAGCCTGCAGATAATTTCCCCACAGAAGCCATTAAATAATGTTAAGTTCAAATACAAAATTCTGTTTATATGCCACTGAAACTTTTGTGTTCACAATTTTATTTAGGAAAACTAATAAAAAGTGAATATTATTTACTCTAACAAATATGCACTCAAAGTAACATGGTCAATGAGCCACCTACTATTATTTGGCTGGGATATTTCAATATATTCCTTTTTCTTTTCTAAATTAATACTGAAACAATTCAGGATACATAAACCATCAAAAAGTAAATAAATAAAATAAGAGTTGAAATTCATTTCTACAATAGAACAGAAAAAATCATCTCCAACAAAATCAGACGCACTTTTGCATTGTCAATATAAATTTAATCCTTCAGAATATTCTCTCTATTAATTAATAAATAATTCTTTAATCAAAATTACCAAATTAAAAATAAAAGAGAAAATTACATTCAAGTAATTACAATAATACTTAATAACAAAAATTATTAACTTTATAAACTTAATTAAATTGTTACCAGTAACAATTTCTGCTTCTTTGGAATGTTCTTTTTGTGTTTCTACTGCAGATGTTTCTGTGGGTGCCACTGACACTTGGGTTTGGGTATTATCTTCTGTGCAAGAAAACAGATGCAGAAAAATTATTGCACAATTAACATACAGTGAAATATTTTCTCAGGAGCAAAAATGAACTTGGGAGCCATTAAGAGGTAAACAAATGATTAAAGTTTATGTAAGAATTTTCATTTTACTTTTTCACAGAAGCAAGTAATGAATTAGGTTGCATTTTGTTTCCAAACAAAACATGCATGAATATATGACTAGATTCTTACAATTCATTTTTCTTCAGATAAAAGGCAAAATGGACACTTAGGTTCCTTTCTATATTCTGTTATAATGACAATTATAATACAGATTACACAGATTTTATCATGTAATTCAATGTTTTCATAACAAAACTACTATTAATCAATAGACATAGGTAAACTTTTCAGGATATTTATATGATAAATATAACACTAGAAATTGTAAAATAATTGAACAAAGATCAATCAAAAAAGAAATTGAAAACATTTACAAGATAAAATCAAGAAAAAATGGTTTTAAGAAATTCACAAAAAGAGATTTCAAAGAAATTAAGAGTAATAAGCAAGAAAATGAATTGGCCAGCAAAAAAATATTTGAAGCTGACATTTTAAGTATAAACAGAGAGAAAACATGCAGATTATTAAGAACGCAAGGCGAAAAATATTAAAGCAACCAAATTAGTGCCTTTAAGTAAACATCACAAAGAAAAATATGTAAGAGGTGAAATACAAGAAAACTGATTTCTCAACAGCAATTTTTAGTGATGAATGTAGAGCTATACTGAATGGACCGTGGTTGGGCTAGAGATTGACTTAGAAAACAACAAAGGAGGAATAAAGTAATATTTTGGTCTTGTAGGCAGTAAAATTATAAAACCCTACAAAATTGATGGTGCAAAGAATTATTGAACGAGATGCTTTTTAATGCTTCAGGTGACAACCAAAAAGCTTTCAGCTAAAGGGTATGTTTATAAATGACAATGCTCCTTTACATTCTGCAAAGCTAATTATTGCCCACTTTGCCAAAACAGTTTCATATATAACAAATTAATAGAATGGCTCATACTTTTCTAAATCCAATACAAAATTAGTGGTCTATCATTAAAAGAGATGCATAATAGAATGGAAAACAATATTCAAACAAATAATGCGTTTAGGATAGAATGAAACTGTTGCAAGTAATGTTAAAGTTTAGAAAGTGAAAAAGTTAACATAATCAATGATTAAAAGACTGGTGAAGGTAACAGGATGTCAATGAATCCATATTAACTTATAAAATAATTAATTCAGAGATATGGGATCAAATATATATTTCTGTGGCATATATCCTTTGGATTTAGTTTTAATTAAAATTCTTGTGGCACATTATTTGTATAACAAAAACTGACATTCCTCCAAAATATTTTTAATAAAGATAGATATTTTAGGCTAAAACTCAGATGATATATTATTCATATAAATATAAGTATTTCCTGAAAATGTTACCAACATTAAATGGTTACAACCAATTTTATTGTAATTTACTACCTCGGTATAAAATAAAACCTCTTTTCAACCATTAATGACAAACATTAGAAATCATTATTCTATATTTTTTAAACGGTTCTTGGCTGTTTTTGCATATTTCTGTTAATTTTAATTGCAATTTATTATTTATCTGTTAAATGAAATATTATTACTTTAAATGAGAGTAAAGCTGATATCTGACACTGTAGGAACTTGGCATGTCATTTTTTTCAGCAAAATTATGATAATTATGATAAATTAGGGTCTTTTTTAATCTCTAATTCTTTTTTCTTTCTCTTCTAGTTTATTGTTTCTTAATAGAAAGAACGTTTTTAATCTTTCAAGATAAAGGACTTCCATTATCACACATACAATACTGAAAATCTAAATCAATAAGATATCTTGTTATACTGCAACAAAAACAGAGTCATAAACAGGACTTTCTTACATAGGCTATGAGATAGCTATGACATACACTGTGTTGTTTAGGTAGGACTTGTTGCGTATCTAAAGTTTAGTCCTTCATGAGAAAAAAAGGATTATTTATCTCTTCACCATGGAACATGAGATAAGTATTGAGAACTGCAAATATGTTTGTAAAAAAAGCTGAATTGAAATGAAGTAGAATGAACAAGATTAAGATTTGATCATTTGTATCATTGATCAATTGACCAAAATATTCCAATTTTTAAAAGAAAAAGATGTATTTATAAAAATGATCTCAAATGATAGGAAGTCAAAAGTTGAATTCCGTTTCTATAGCAGTTTGTCATCACTTTGCAGATGCAGAATTTTTGAAAAGGCTTTGAATTGGCTATCATAAAGATTAAAATATATTATTACTGATGTTTATATTATCAAAGGCACAATATATGGACATAAGTATATAAAAATATGTGATTGTTATACATTTAGTTCAGCAGTTATGTTTTTTATTTATTCTTTTTATCGAAATGTTAATAAATTATTTTACCTGTTGTAACTTGCGTAGTTTCTGTTGTTGCATTGGTAGTAGAGATGGGATTGCTGCTTGGTTCAGATCCTGTTATTGTATGAGAATTAACAGAAACTGTCAACAATTGATTATTTTCTTCTTCTCCATTGTTTTCTGAAGGTTTTTGCACCAAGGCAGGTAACTGCTTCATTTGTTGTTGAAATGCTTGAAGATTCTGTATTCCCTACAAAATTGGGAAAAATAGAAAAAAGAAAATAGTTATGATATTATTCAATCTCTTTCACCAGCAGAAATCTAATATCATGGTTATGCATTTTTTAATATAACTGATATCAAAAGATTTGCAGGAATATTTAGCTAGTTAGTTTGGTTGACTATTAATACTGAGTACCCCAACCTGCACTTGTAGCTTTATGCAAAAATTAAGCCAATTGATTTATTTATCCACTCAAAATGAATATCTAATTAATAGTGTATTATATTATATTTTTATATTATAATATAATTACAAATAATAATTGCTCATACCATTAAATCTAAAAATACTTTTTGTATGTCTCACAATTTAAAAAATCAAAATTGATTAATTAAAAATTTTCAATTAATTTTAATGCACTATAAAAGTTATTTTGAAACTTTTCAGTAATTAAGATATTTATTGATGTTATTTGGATACTTAATTTGGATAATATTTTGTTTTATAATAAATACCCACGTATCTATTTTGGATTAAATATTTCTAACAATATTTCTTAAATTTGGTGTTAGTCAATATCTGTGTGGTAAATGTCTCATTTGAAAATCAATAAAGTGAAGGCCCGCTATGAATAACAAACTTCTTTTTATTGTCAGACTTTAATTTAGTCTGTGACTGATAAAGGACTGCACTGCAAGAAGACAGTGTTATTTTGGAACAAAGAAGGAACACTATTTGGGTAGACCTGTCAAGAAAGGAGATACAGTGAGTGACAAAGCCACATTCATCTGAATTTGTAATTCCATATGTCTACTTACTGTTCATCCCAGTATTGTTTCAAGTTTTAAAAATAAGGCATCTCTCTCAACATTATATTTGTCTTGTTGTTTCACAATTTCAAAATGAGTATTTTTCATCCACTGTCTGTACCTGTACTCAAAGTAGTTGCCTTCTGAAGACTTAACACAACAATAACATGGTAACAAGGCCATGAAAGTACAACCAGTTGTATATAATTAAAAAAAAAAGTCATTACTCACTTGAACTGGTGCCATCATTAGAGTTTGTCCATTGGAAGTGGGTATAATAACTGCAGGGATCTGTGTGGGGAGGTTGTTCTGACCAGCTGGTGGATATCGACGAGGTCGGCCACGCCCTCTTTTCACACCTGTGAAGAAACAATTCAAACATCTTTTTTCAATGTCCAAAATTTTTATTCTTATCTAACTTCATCTAAGATTTAGTCAGTTTGGATTTATGATGAGAATATATAATTATATGTAAGACAGTTTTCTATCTTACCTGTCCCTAACAAATAAGGAGACAATGTATTATTTTCTTTAGGAGTAGTTCTTCTTTTTTTTAAACCCATAGGTGTAACTTCATCATCATCTGGAGCTACAGCACCTTCATCTTCACTGGAAATCTCAAGAATTTCATAGTCTGGAGGCAAGAAAAGAAATTGCTATATTGAATAACAAATAACAATTTTAGTTTTGCCAAGATTTGATACACACTAAAATATTTTAAAGGCTAGAAAAATATTGTTAGCACAAACTTATAACAAAATTAGTTTTTAAAAATGTTTAAAAAAATTTACATCAACAGTTTTTTCAGCAATAGTCCTGGATTGCACATAAAAGTTAAAAATATTTTTTCAAAAACAATAATTCAACATCTAAATTAATTTAATCAAGCTAATAAATGATATGGATTAATATGGATTTCAAAAACTAGTGCTATGATAATTTTGATTCAGATATAAATATTTGACACTTTATCCATATGATTACTGAACCCTTGTAAGATTATCCTTAAATAAGTACAGTTAAGAAAATAGTCAATTTTTTACATGATTATACATGATAAATAAAAGACATGGATTGTAAAATTTGCAACACAAAAATATCACCATTGTACATAATATATTGTACCTATTTATGAAAATCTAGTCAAGTTATATAATTTTGGTGATAAGCAGAATGAAAAATACTATGCAAGTGGACTTTAAATCCTGTTTCTATTCTTATAAAAATTTGTCATTTTATTTTTTTTTTTCAAAAAATATCTCCCAGTAAGAATAAGAAATTAATTTCCACCAAAGATTACATCTAACCTTCAAGAGCTTTAGCCCTCCGTCGAACTCTGCCACTTCTGCGTACACCATCTGGACCTGAGAATCAGTAAAATAAATTACAAAACTGCAACAAACATTGTAAATGTAATTGAACAAGATATTTAAGCTAAGAAAAAGATTACTTTTTATTAAAAGATAAAGAATCTCTTTCAAGCCATATAATGTTTTAACAGTGCTTAGTTTTTAAAAATACAAATAAGTATAACATTTAGCTTTATGTTTAGTTATTTTCAGTTATAAAACACTTCTATTACTATAAAATTTGTTATAGTTATTTACTTTTGTAAAAGGTAGCATTAAGAAGCTAAAACACAAGCTCAGTTTTTCTTTAATGTTTTCTCACTTTGATTGCAGATAAAAAAAATATTTTGACAAAAGAAAAGTAAAATTTGTTCTCACACAAAGAGTACCACCACTGACATGTGAGAATTTCAGTATGGTGACGACAATGCAACTGCTGACCAGACTGTCATTAATTTCCAGAGATTGACAAAACTGTATAACAAAGGCCTAAAAATGTCTTGGGGTTGAAGGTCAATGTCAAAAAGACAAAGATTTTCATCCAGCAAGCCCCTGGTCAAGCAACACTGGATATCAGCATCAACATTGATGGACAGCCAGTAGAAGTCACTGATGAATTTTGCTACCTTGGCAGCATCATCTCAAATATTGTCATCTACGAGAGAAACCTTCCTAACAGGATCAGTGGTTCATACTGCCTAAAGAATGCTCTCATGTTGGGTCTTCAGCAATCCCAGCCTCACCATAAAAACAAAATCATGGTCTTCTGGGCCATGGTCCTCTCCACCCTTCTGTATGCTTGTGAGGCTTTATATTATCAGAACATCAAACGTCCAGAACAGTTCTAGCAAACAAAGCTGTGAAGAATCCTTTATATAAATTGGGAGGACCGCATCACCAACAACAAGACATCTCTCCCTGGCATTGTGACTCTTATCCTTCAACATTGCCTCCTGTTTGGAGAAGATGCCAGCAGCAAGATGCTACATGGAGGCCCAAAATGACGCTTCAAGGATCATTTGAAAACATTCCTGACACAGGCCAATATCAACCCTGAGACCTGGGAAACTGTTGTTGCAAATCAGCCTTCTTGGCATAATACCATTTAATGAGGAACCAGGACTTTTGAGTCCAACCGTCAACATGAAGAGGATCTGTGACATGCTATCAGAAGGGCCTGACTTGCTCAGCCACATCCACCACCTACACTTTTCTGTAACTCCTGCTCATGACTCTTCAGGAGTAGGCTGAACCTTCACAGCCATCTCTGTCATTGCCACTAGAGGAAAGAAAGGGAATAAGGAGAGAGGATGATGATCCCAATGCTTGGATACAAGCAGGTGCCAATGAAAGTAAAATTACTTACACTATCAATACATCTCAAAGAAATGTTAAATATATGTCAAAACCTTGATACCTAAATACATATTTAGAGAAAAACAAACTTGTACACACCAACAGCAGATAATTCAAGTAAGCCTTCAGCAGCATTAGTTTGGTCTGTTTGTGCTATAAGGTTTTTGTTATTATTTGGCATGACCTCAGCCTCATTTGAAACCAATGTAGGAGTCTGTACATTTAACCATTCCTGTGTCACAGTGTCTGTTTTGGAAGGAGTCACTTCAACATTCAAAGGCCGTGTAGCAACCACTTCTTGAACAGTGGCATCTGTTTCTGCACCAAGTTCTTCAGTCTTAAACTGTTTTCGAGGACGGCCACGTTTTCGTCTTCCTAAGTATAAAGAAAAGCCAAAAGAAAAAAAATATAGAAAAAAAAGGAAATTTGGAGTTGGTTAATGTACAATGCAAAGCAAAAGACTTATTCAATCAGAGATTCTTTAGATATTGCTTATTCTAAAGCAAGTTTTCTCAAGGATTTATTTTTATCTCAGTAATATTTAGAACACTATACTATAAAACTAAAGAAACAAATTTTTTTTTTCTCAAGAAAATGTATTAGTCCCACAAATGACTTAAAACAGCTAACAGGAAGATTCAGGGTCACACCTTTATTGATGGTAAATTTCCCAAATAATACCTGAAGTCAGTAACCAGATTTTGGAAATGTTTTTTTCAGTTTTTTTTTTCTTCATGATGTTTTTAAGGAACTGTTTATTAAACTATTCTGGATTTCCCATATTAACTGCAATTGTTCTTACAACAATTAAAATTGTTAGCGGTGAGTGAGGAAAAATAATTACTACTTCTACAGTTCATCCCACACAGATTTTGCTTAAGAAGTTATCACTTACCTTCTGGAGGTAGCAGGGGATAAGCACACATTTGCCCTGTCTCTGGGTTCATCATCATTACACATTTCTTGCCATTGATGACAACTTCAGTACTTTCGGTGACAGCAATTGGACATGACAAATCTGGTTTACGGGAAGGTAAAGAAATTGCAGTTGCTTCTACTTCCCCCTTGGCAGCACTAGGAGTATCTGTTTCAGTAATATTTTCTTCCACTGAGGTCTGGGTTTGGCTGGTGGTACAATTAGCCATCTGTGTTTCTGCAGAAACTGGTTCTACTAGGTCTGTTGGTAACTCCATGTGAGTTTCAGTTGTAGTATTAGGAGCATTCTTCTGTACATGCATTTCCTCAGGTTGATCCACTCGTAACAGATCCATTGAAGATCCTTCAGAGACGACAGTATTAACCACTGGGATATTCGTAGGTTCTGCTGTTTGCACAGTGAAATTCCCTAATCTGTCATCAGACTGCATGATAACAGGCATACCATCTTCACCAGTCACAATCAGCCGATTCTCTGCTACTGGCACTGAATCTTGAGTGAGAATATGATAAGTACCAGGTGGAATCTGTAATGTGCCATCCATCACTTGTTCTTGTAATATTATCTGTGCTGCATCCTCTAAGCTTATGGTCACTGTTTCTGTGGACCCCATCACTTGACTAATAGAACCATCTTCATTAACAACTTGACTGACTTGTTGACAATCCATATTGACAAACTAGGAAAATGTGAAATAAAAAGAAAATGTAAAATCAATGGCTGACATCACTGAATTTTTTTCCAAATTTTGTGCCATGCAGCAAATAGACTAACAAAAAAATTGGCAACAAACAAAAATGTTTTGGTTCATTCTCCAGCTTTTGATGAAGGTGGATAATGATGCAGCCAAAATGTTACAAAAATAAAAAAAAATAATAATGGTGAAGAGGAGGAGGATAAAACATTAATAAATTTTAATATTTCAGTCTAAGATACAACTGCTGCTGGTTGTTTTTATAGATGAAAATATAAAGAAGATAATTTGTTTACAGAGAAATTATTTGAAATTCAGTAGTTCAGAGAATTTGAACAGATTGATAAATGTTTTATCTGTCAACTGATCTAGTGTTTCTACATGTCTTGTAGGACATTACACACACTTTCTACCAGGAAATAATGAACCTTATGTTTTATTATTTTTTCTTTCTGTAAGGAAGCTATTCTATGTTTTAACTTAGCCATTCAAAATTGTATCACATTGTATGATTGAATGGATTGCTAATACACATATATGACAAAAAATACATTATACTGCCAAGATAAAACTAAACAATTATTTTGAATAGTTAGAAAAATAAATATCTGAAGTATGAAACATGCTAAAAATAAATCATTACAGTTAATATGAGGGTAGTGCAACTGAAAAGTTTGTAGCTCCCTATGACTTTCTACAAATTCTTGCATGGTAATTGTTCTGATGAACTTTCCTCTAATGTAACTTAGACTTTATGAATTTAAGAGCAGTACTAGATTAGCAGCAAGATCTCATCATCTTAAAGTTGAAATGGCTAGATGTAGCCATAACTTTCTTCTATTGCACTTCTCATTTCACTCTCTTTCAGCATCTTGCTTCCAATCAACTTTTGATCTTCAAAAATTTAAATGCAATGTCAATCGTTATTTTCTGTCTCCTTAATTCCTGCTCTTAATAATGTTTTTCTTTTTCTTATATTCTCTCACACTCAGTAACCACTTGCATCTTACTGGCTTTATTGCCTTGCTTGAGATGAAATGATAAAAAAAAAAAAAAAAAAAAAAAATTAAAAAAAAATATTATGTTTAGACAGATTTTGGGAAGTGTGTCAAACTGAAAACTTTTAGCACCTGTGTATATCTGGAAATATAACTGGAGTTAAAAGCAAGTGTTAATTATAGAAATCAATAACAATTTTTTTTTTTATTTACATTTATTAATTTATTTGATCAAATAAATAAATGTTCACCTACAAAGTGTATCAGTACACTCTGGAAATTTTTAAGATTATGTTAGAGGATTAACATTTCAATCCTTTTTGGCCAGTATTGAACTTAGACCATTTTTTATTTTAGATTTTAAATCTACAACTAAATATATGTCTTATATAGTTTTAATATTAGATTTTCTACATGAATTACATCTAGAACACTTCTCGTAATTTACTTTATGTTTTATATATAGTGGTAATCATATATATATGATTATAGTACTAATAATTTTCAAGCAATAAATGCCTAGTCAGATCCCCATATTTTGAAAGTACAGACCCACTTCCTTTATAGTGATTTTCTAAGTGTAGCTTAGATGTGGCACAAGGCCGAAAGCATGTGGCACCTAGTGAGGATTGAACTCACTACTCAGGAGTCATAATTTTTCTGGTAAGACAAGCTTGCTGACCATTACACTATGTGAAGTTGCCTAACCCACTTCCTTTATGAAGAACAGCAGGTCATCCACATCGACATTTTTGAATAGGACCCACATGATGCTAAGGCTATAAAATTGCTGTCTTGAGGAGAGCCAGTCTGACATGCATTATTAGAAAGTGGTTCACTGTACATAGTGCCTGGTATGCTACATATCCAGTTGCTCCTCCTGTCTGAGTATGAAAGAGTGTGTAATTTTTGTATGGCTGATACATAGTCTTCCTAAGTCTTTATTTCTATTTAGCTAGAGTAGTCTTTGTATCAAACAACTTGTTGCATATACTGTTAATGCAATGTTGTTGCCATTTATTCTGAAAGAGATTACCAATTCAGAGCTGACCTAGCTCTGTTATTTCTCTTAATTCCAATGTGACTTGGAATACAACATAGTATAATCTTTCTTAACTTGCACATGAAATCCAGTCTACCTAGGAGATAATTACTAGGATTTCCTGTGCTCTTTTTTTTTTCAGGGATGGGAGTGAGAAGATAATAATTTTTGCAAGTTCTCTGAAATGATGTTAAACCTTAAATCTATTGCACAGGTTTTGGCAATAAAAATTCATATGTCTTTTGGAAGGTATTTTCTTACAACTGTTTCATTGGGACAATATTCTTTGACTTTGTGGATTATTTTCTGGGGGTAAGTAATAAGGTGACTGTTTTTATTTGTTTTTTGATAGTTCACTAGGATTATTTGGATTGTTTTTTAATAGCAAGAAGTATTTGATGGTATATTGGTAAGTCAAATTTTTGATTCTATAATGATGGTTTTTATTCAAAGACCAAAAGGCTTCATTGCATTTACTTTTTTGTTGAGAACTGCTACTTTGTGAAATAAAGAGGATGCTTCTCTGATCACTACAATCTTAACATGTTCCTATTATCTATCCTACATATCATTAGAATCTGCACTTACTTCATCCTCTTACATACAACAACCTCAGTAACCCTCTACCTTGAGTCATTCTTGAGCCTTGTATTAAGTAAACAATTAGTAAAAAAAAAAAAAAAAAAAAAAAAAAGAAGATTTATATTTTAGATCAAAGGTGCAATTATAAGCAGGATTGGAGGTGTAAGATTTGTGTTTTATATGTTAATTTGAGTTTTGGTACTTCAGGGATTCCGGTGTACATGATATCCACTGGAGATATTTTAAAAGCCCCAAGTACAAATATGAAACTATTATAGTGGATTGCATTGATCGATAAAGGAAGCAACCATATTCCAATTTTGAATGGGTTAGTGATCTATAGAATTTCAGAAAAAATTCTCAATTAGCTTCCTTCTCAGTCTAGGGTACCACCCATAGAATTTATAAGGCTTTACTTTTTAGGTAATTCAGTTGGAGGATAAACGTCAATTTTTTTTCATAAATAGTCCCAACAAATGTGTATTTGCTACAAGTATTTCTATTCTTTCAAATTTGAGAATGAGGTTACTGTGCATTTTTCCTGGTTTGCAAAAATTAGCACATTTTCTTTTTGAAAATGTAAACCCATTTTTTGTTGCCCATTTGTTTATCCTATTTAGGCATTGCTGGAGTTGATGCTCTATTGTGTGGATGTGTTTTAATCTGTAGCTTATCAAAAGATCATTGCCATACAAAGAGAAGTCAACCTCCAGATTTAGGCATTTAACAATGTCCTTAATGTTGATACTAAACAATGGTAACTGACAGAACTTTGTGGAATATCTTCTTGTTTCTGAAGAGAGTAGATTTTACACAAGTTTCTTTCTGAAATTATTTATAAAGATTGATAGGCTGCTTCTCAGTATGAAATCACGTAAGTTTCTCATTGTATTGTATTTTCCAAGTGGTGTCATTCACCTTTTCTGAATAAAATAAAGACTACTATCACATGTTCTGATTTTTGATGAAGGCTTCCTTTATGAAATGTTTCTAAGTGGATCAGATGGTTAATAATTTTCTTTTATTTCAGAAGCCACATCAAAAATTGATGAGACTGTTGATTCCCAGATACCAGGTCAGTTTGTTGTTTATCATTTCAGTGACATGATTTTTACAGAGTCAACTTGTCAATAAAATGGGCCAATAACTTTCTCAATCTGTGTGGGGATTACAGTCATCTGCAATATCATTTTTACTAGTTACTTTGGTGTTGTTCTTGGAAAGATGTTGGGTTTCTGCCAGAGATTTTTATTGTCCCAGATTATTTTTCTGTTTTATAGAGCTTACTTATATATTTTTTCAACATTCCTTCTTGATTTCTTTTACTGTTTTACATGCTTTTGCTTTATACAGTTTGAAAGTCAAAGGTTATAAGGTGATTGCTTAATTTGTAATGCAACTGCTGTATTATTTAAAGTGTAAAGAACTTTGAGGTTCCACTTCACCAATATTATATATGATTTCATGGCAAGTCTAATGTATTTGTAGTAATTGCTGTAGGATACTCTCAGTAACTGACTTGCCTGAGAATGATATCAGAATAATCTAAACACTGTCTCAGTAAGTTCTTTTATATACTGCCCTACTAGGTACCTCCTGTGTCTTTTACTGGAACAATTCATTGAGCAAGGGAGTGATACTCTATAAAAGGTTTCTTGAAGGTAAACAATTGAATCCATTATTAACAGTTGTTCATTAATGTTGGGTTTTAGTTTTCTATTGAAAACATTTTTGTTTTTTAATATAGTATAGGGTGTCATTCAGTGGGCATTTATGATTTTGTTAAGTTTATGAAACACATCAGATGGTCTTTGACTTCTATTCATTTTTTCAAATATGCTGAAATGGTTTGTTTGCTTTTTTTTCTGAGAGGCTTTGGAGTTTGTAGCGCCTTCCAGCTGTGTTCTTCACTTTGAGGAGATCAATAATGCAGCTTATTTTGTGACCTTTGCTTAGGTGGTTCTTGCCACTTTTGGAGTCACTAACAAGGGAGTGTTGTCAAATTGGAGATATGATCTCTGCAGGATTTGAGTTTGGTAGGTGAATTGGGGATGTTATGAGAGGGGGTTTTCTTAATTGATAAAGTATTGGTGATATTTTGTTGGAATGGTTTGAGAGTTTGATGGATTCAGCCTTACAGTTACTATCAGTGGATGTGGTTTTATTCTTTTTTCATTGTTGTTTTTATTTCCATTATAAATGTTGGCCAGTCATCTGGCCCTACTTTTAGTAGCCTCCCAATGAGTGATGACTTGCATTAATTGTTGTTGATCATGTTTTACAGAACAGTTATGTATGACACATTTCTGGAATTATATTTATTTTCTCCATGATTTCCTATGCCAGATGATCTCCATGACAGT